TTACAACGACATGGATAGAACTAGAGGGTATTATGCTAAGTGAAGTAGGTCAATCAGAGAAAGACAATTATCATATCATCTCACTCATATGTGGAATTTAAAAAACAAACCAGGATCATAGGGGAAGAGAGGGAAAAATGAAACAAGATGAAACTGGAGTAATCTCAGGAAACAAACTGAGGGTTGCTGGAGTGGAGGGAGGTGGGAGAGATGGGGTGGTTGGGTGATGGACATTGGGGAGGGTATGTGCTATGGTGAGCGCTGTGAATTGTGTAAGACTGATGAGTCACAGGGGCGCCTGGATGGTTCAGTTGTTAAGCATCTGCATTCGGCTCAGGTCATGATCTCAGGGTCCTAGGATCAAGCCCCACATCGGGCTCTCTGCTCAGCGGGAAGCCTGCTTCTCCCTCTCCCTCTGCTTGTGTTCCTTCTCTCACTGTGTCTCTCTCTGTCAAATAAATAAATAAAATCTTAAAAAAAAAAAGACTGATGAATCACAGACCTGTAACCCTGAAACAAATAATACATTATGTTAATACAAAAATAAAATAAAATCTATTTTGCCTGAAGGGGATAACTACTCCAGCTTTCTTTTGGTTTCCACTTGCATAGAATATCTTTTTCCATCCTTTCACTTTTAGTCTATGTGCAATCTAACATCTAAAGTGTGTCTCTTATAGACAGTATATAGATGGATCTTGTTTTTTATGCAGTCAGCTACTCTATGTCTTTTGAGTTGAGAAGGAAGCCAGTTATCTGTTTAATTGACTTTCCTTTGTGAGTTATCTGGCTTTTCCCTCTGATTGTTTTTAAGATCTCATTGTTTTTGGTGTTTTGTCATGTCATTATGATGTACTTACCTGGGCATCTCTTTAAGAGGCATTACATATAGTGGCTAAGAGCATGAACTCAGGACCCAAATTGCTCCTATAATTTCCCAATTATGAAAACTTGGGCATATTATTTAAGTTTTCTGTTTCTCAATTAGCTCACGTGTTGTGAGGATAAACAGTTGATATATAAATTGTTTAGAATTCTGTCTGGCTTGTGTTGAACACTTTTTCTTTATTTGTTTTAATCTTTTTTTTCTTGCTTGTGACTCATTGAACTTCCTGATTCTAAGATTCATTATCTTTCAACATTTATACATTTAAAACTTCCTGCTTCCTCATTCTTTCTGTTATATCCTACAACATTGACTGGACTTTATTGGAGTGCTTTATTCTATCATACTATCATACATATCATTCTATCATACAAGTCTCTTAACGTCTTATTTTTCAGATAGATTTTCCAGTTTGCTAATTCTTTCTACAACTATTTCTAATTTACCCTTTGATCAGTTCTTTCAGGTTCTAATTTCATTTCTAGAGTTTCTATTATTTTATTTATCTAATCTCTAGGATTTTGGTAGTCTCTCTTTTTTTTTTTTTAGTCACACTTTTATACTACCTTTTTTTAAAAGACATGTTAAACATATTGCTTTATTTTTTATCAGATACTTCTAACATCTGGTGATTAAATATCTGATTCTTTAGTTTTTTGTTTAGTATAATTTTCATTCAGATAGCTTGGTTTCTCCCATGTCCAGAGATACTTCCTAGAATTCTTCCCCTAGAATGACAAGGGAATTCCCTGTGATTAGTTAACTGCATTTCTCCAGAGAGGATTTGCTTTTGCGTCCCCTGGGTTTGGTTAAGGCCTGAGATTAAGATTCAGTATTATACGCTGCCTCGGCATCTGAAAACTGGAGGGCCTCAAATGGCCTAAGCACAACTTTTCTTCCTTCTTCTACTCCTTTGGATAAGGTCCCCTAGCCAAACAACCTTATGTATCATGGAGACAATGCACAGTGCCTGCTTATTCCTAAGTAGTAAGTTTTAGTTTCCTGCCAGGCTACATAATTATGCAAACAAGCCAATCACTTCCTCCCACAGGAATCAGGAGTCATCCTACCCTCTTAGTACTAAAGAGATTGATTCTCATAGCCCTTGTTTTTCATTCTGTATCCAAGTGCAACAGTGTGACCCTGTATGAACTATCCTTTCCCCCAGGCCATGAGTATATATGATTAATAAATTGCTGTCCCTCTTCCTTGTCCAGTGTTGAGTGCCCTGTGTTGGACCATCCTCATATCCCTAGGGCGGGAAACCCTCCCTCACCAATAGGATGAAGAGAAGGCAAAAAAAAAAAAAAAGGAAACAGCTCTGAGGTCATTACCAACATATTACACTTCAACTAAGTTTCTATCTTGAGAGTTTGGACACCCATCTTATAATGTAAAATCAGGCCTCAACCCCAAGTAAGTGTAAAGCACAATTTACACCCTCTCTCTAAGAAGTTTTTTTTTTTTCTCATTCTTTTTCTCCATTACTCAGAGTTGAAGATAAGATACATATACCCACCATCTCTCTAGGGAGTGTTTTTGCTATCTATGATGGGACTGGGAGGCTGGAGAGCCTGTTAGCAATTCTTTGTACGTGAATTTCTCCAACTTGACTTTTAGCCCTGTTCAGTCCTGTGGTTTATTTCCTACCTCCTACACACAGGACTTATCAAATCCATTCAAAGCTACTTCCAAGTGAAACACTAATGCTTGTGCTTACTTACTACATATTTTCTCCCTTTCTTATCCTTTCTGCAAAATTTAATTTTTTCTGTAATTTTATCATCTTTTAATTTTAATTCCAGTATAACAAAACTTAATTCTTGCTCCACATGCATTAAAAATATTTTTGTTCATGGGGTGCCTGGGTGGCACAGTCAGTTAAGCATCAGACTCTTGGTTTCAGCTCAGGTCATGGTCTCATGGGTCGTGGGATTGCACTCTGTGGGGAGTCTGCTTGGTTCTCTCTCTCCCTTCTCCTCTGCCCTTCCTCCCACTCTCTCTCTCTAAAATAAATAAATTTTTTTAAAAAATTAACACTTTTACAAAAATATTTTTGCTCATATATATTATACAGATCTACTTTTTTTTGGTTATACCAGAAGTTTTCTAAACATGGTGCTCTCTCTCTTCCTTCCCTACTTCCTTCTTCCCTCCCTCCCCTACCTCTCTCTCTCTCTCTCTCTCTCTCTCTCTAACATACATGCATGCACACACACACACACAAAATATAAAACTTATTGAACCTTTTTGCATGTCATTCATTGTGTGTTCCCCAAGCATGTGATTATATTGGCACCACAGCATTTAATCATAGAAATGTAGATAATTTAGCTTATTTCTATTTTCAGACATTAAGATTCCAGAAATTGTAATATTTTTACAGCTATAAACAGTGCCCAAATCATGTCCTTGTATAAAAGTCTTTGTATCCTTGATTATTTCCTTAGAATAGATTCTTGGATGGGTTATTATCCTGACAAAGGGTATGAACTCTTTTAGGGCTCTTGATGGATTTTGCCAAATTGCTTTCTAGAAAGGTTGTAGCAATTTACAATTCACTGCAGTGTGTGATAGGTGAAAAGTGCTGTCTCTTCGGTGATTTAATGTGCATTTCCTGATTACTCATGAGGTTAGACATTAACCGAATGCACTGTATGTTTAACCAATTCCCTTGTAAGAGTATCAGGTGATTTTAATTATCCCGTTTGAAGCTTTGTTCTTCACTCAAAATATTTGTGCATCTTCCTCTAAGCATAACGCTGTGTTATAACTAAGGATTAGCTCACCAGCCCAGCATACTTCAATACCCAAGGAATAACTGGCATACAAGGGAACAATTATGTAATGATGCAAGGAAATGTAGCGGCAAATGAAGGCTTCTGCTCAGCAAACCCACTGCTGTACAAAAGCAAAGATCCTTATTTCACTGTTTTGAATAATCAAAATGAGGCTTAATATAATTTCATGCTTTCTATTGAAAAGGAAAATACCATATTGAAATCTGACTTTAAATGATTTTTAATTTGGCTATTTTACAGCTAATATTGTTCTTCCACCCCAGGGGTATTTTGGATCCATTCAACACGTCTATTTTCTGTACCAACATCTTGCTCAAACCACTACTTGTTTCCATTATCTCTGGGAAGGGATCTGCTAATTGTCACCTAAAGGAATTCTGAGCTATTATTTAACAAACTATTACAATTTAATACAATATTGTAAAACCGTTGGCTTTTCTCTTAGTTTTATAAATCACATTCTTAGGAAATCAACTCTTTCCTTCTAAAAATATTCTTTCCATGTGAAACATCCCTTGGAACAGTCATTTGTCTTTTCATTGCATTATTATCCATAACAATTTCTTAGCGAAGGCCTCTCATGTGAAAATATGGCCATCTCGATGAAATTTTGTGATATCCCAACCAGAATGTTCCTTTAAATCCCAGATAAAAGCTTTACATCTCTTCATTCCCTTGATATCCAGAGACAGAGGGTCGGTTGACCATGGATGCTCCAGGCAAGAATAAAAACATGTGCATGCATCTCATTTACACCAGAGGACAAAAGAGAAATACATACATTTCTGTTTTAAATAATACAACTAGGTAAAATCTAATGCAGGAAAAAAGTAGATTGTGTATCAAGCAGCTCCTTTACTGAGAGAATAATTTTTGTTTTATTATGAAAATTTTTACACTATTTTCCGGGTGCACTGGCTTCATGAAGGGTCTGTTTGCATTGTAGCTTGCCAGAACTAAGAAATGCTTTGCCTAGTCTCCATTGCTGCAGGCCTAATCCTGGTAGATGTGATGGGCTATTGAGTACATCATTTATGGCAATATTAAAGAAAACTGTATCTTTATTGAAAAAGGGAAAGAGGGGCACCTGGGTGGCTCAGTCGGATAAGCATCCAACTCTTGATTTCAGCTCAGGTCATGATCTCAAGCCCCATGTCAGGCTCTGCGCTGGGTGTGGAGCCTGCTTAAGATTCTTTCTCTCCCTCTCCCTCTGCCCCTCCCCCCTTATGTTCTCTCTCTCTCTCTCTCTCTCTCAAATAAATAAATAAATAAATATTTTTTAAAAAGAAAAAGAAAAGAGAGAAGAAAGGGAGGGAGGGAGAGAAAGAAAAATGAGGGAGAATCCACAGGGTGGCCAGGCAATGCTCTGTTCTCAGCTGGGTTTGCTTGTCCATCTGTAGTCAGCTTTGCTGATCTTGGCAGGTCTCTTCAGTATGCTAGCTTGAGCTTGCTCTAATGGTGGAAGCACAGCTAAAAACAAAACAAAACAAAAGAATAGGTGTGTTCAAAGGCCTCTCAAACCAGCATAATATAGTCTCTTCCATTTTCTAGTGTCCAAAGCAAATTCCAGTATTATTTCAGAATTAAGGAATAGGGAAATGGACTGCACCTCCTCATGGGAAAACCTGCAAAGTTGTGTTTCAAAGAGTATGGATAAAAGAAAAGAGAAGAATTTGAGGTATTTTTGAAATTCATCTACTAAAAAGATAACAATTGTCTACAATAAAGTTGCATACATTATTCCTCCCAATTTTTCCTTAAGTTTATCACATCCTATGATGTAATTTTAATAATAACAAATTATGCTATATTTACCTTCAAGCCTGTTATGTAAATAACTTTATTGATAAGCATCTTCCGGGTCAATATATATATAGCTAGATCATTCCTTTAATGTCTCTATAAGGTTTAATAAATCAGTGCATCATCATTTAAGAATTTCCCTATGGGTGAAAATATACTTGACTTTTTTTCCTATTGCAAACATATCTCTACAAGCACATCTTTGTATACTCAGGATTTTAGTCATAAAAGTTTGTTTCCTAGAAGAGCGATTTCTGGTTCAAAGGGTGGATATATCTTTCATTTTACTGGAATAAATTTACTTTACAGAAAAAGGCTAGTTTTGGTAACATATGTGTCAAAGTAATTAGTGCTAGTTGTTGGAACAAAGAACCCCAAAGTACTGCGACTTAACACAAAGAAAGTCAGATATGGGTCAGGCAGCCATCTTAAATAGCTCTCTACCAGAGGGTTACTAAGGAACCCCAGCTCCTTCCTTCCACCATGTGCCTCTGCCACCTCAGAGAGTGGCCTTTGAATTCCTGCACCAGATCCTCTGCATTCAACAAGATGCCAAGGAGAGAGTGTTGGGATAAGGAGATAAGGAAATATTTTAAGGCCAAGGCTTGGAGTTTCTTATTTTCTTTCACTGATATTTCTTTGGCCAAAACTCAGTCACATAGCCTCAATCTAAGTACAAGGGAAGCCGGGAAATGTAGTTTTCTTATGTGCTCAGGGCTAGGAACAGTATCAATGAACATCTGGTCAGCTTGTGTCTCTGATGATATATTTTCTGTATGTGATATTTCTATTATTTTATTATTATTATTAATTATTATTTATATATAATATATTTATATATTTATATATGATTATATATCATATATAATTATATAAATATAAATATTTATAGATAATATATATTATATATATTTATATATAATAA